AGCACCCATCTTGATATATTGGAATGAGATAATCTCAACACAAATAAGACAATATGATAAGAAAGGATCTAAGATTTACATACCTTGATCATATTGTGATCTTACTCCAAAATCTTAGATTATGTCGAGAGTCTTTGAGGCTTGAGCAATGATAATTTTGACAGAGCTTCGTGCTGATAACGTGTATGAAACTAATGTAATATATAAACAACTACAAGAGAATATTAGAGAGGGAAAGACACAAGAGAAGAGAGGGGAAGATTTCTTCTTATTCATTCTTAACTTTTGATACAATAATATGCTCTATTTATAGGCACACTTTGGTAACCACTACATCCTTATATCAATGCATATGAATGAGAGATAATAATGTAGGAATAGGGGTTACATGTAACTTCCAAAGTGAGCATCTAATGTGGTAATGACAATGGTCATCCATATATCAATATTTACATAATATAGGGTAAAATATCCAAGGTAAATAATCGTCTGCATTGCGTAGTCGTGTCCTATTTATAGACTATAGGTAGGTTGTTAGCTAATCACCATCATCGGGGTAGGATACGGTGACTACCCTATAAAAGGTTTGATTTTTGACACCCCTTTCTTATTGGTCCATTTTTCCTCAATCATTTGGTAAATATTAATGAAAGTTGTAGAATTTAACACTCACATTAAATACACATTGGGAATTAAATACCTCATATTAATTACTTGCTTTTTTGAAATTTTAACCTACACTAAACACAATTTTCTCTAAAAAAAAAAACAAATAATCTCTCTTCTCTCCTCCCTCTCATCATGCTTTCGCCGACCGCCGTTATGATTTTTCGATTTCTGATTTTTCAGATCTAATTTTTTCGATTTTTTAGTTATGATTTTTGTACCACTGCATTGATATTTGTACCACTGCACTTAAACTCAGATATGATATTTTGTACGAGTGCACTGGTAGCGTTACCAATGCACTGGTAGAGATACCAGTACTACACTGGTAGAGATATCAGTGCACTAGTACAAATATCATATTTGAGTTTAATTGTAGTGGTAGAAATATAAGTGAAGTGGTGCAATGTATCATTGCACTGGTACATTTTTTTAATGTAACGGTACATTTTTGCGGATGGCCGGAGGAAGTCTGCTGCCGGGATTTCACCGGAGAAGTGTGGCGGTCGGAGTCTACGGGAAAAAGGAAGAATCAGAGATAGGGAGAGAGAATTATATTTAATGTAGGTTTAAATTAAAATAAAACAAGTAATTAATATGGTGCATTTAATTCCCTATGTGTATTTAATATGAGTGATAAAATATATAGATTGCATTTAATACTAAGGAGGTGTCATTTTTCCAACCTCTTTATGGGGTTAGCAAGCTAACCGATCTCCACCATCATCCAGAGCTGTCAGAATTGAACCCAATCCGACTAACCCGCGCAACCCACCCGACCCACAACCAGTTCGTAACCCGATTTGACAAAAATCAACCACCCGAAGCTCGCCCGTAACCCGAAACCAATTGACCCGTAATCCGATCAACCCATAATTCGACGAACTCGTTATCCGATCCAACCCATAACCCGACCCATCTATAACCCGAATGATTCATAACCCAAATAACTCATAACCAAACCGAATCCAACTCGAATAACTGTAATAACTCATTTGACCCAAATTCTTGTACAAAAATTCAATGTATACATTATTATACTTTTAAATTTACCAAGAAAGAACTGTTGTTCTCATAATAATTGAAAATTATTTGTAGAATTGATGGTATAAATTGAGGTTTTGTCTTAAATATTTAATTTTTAAACTAATAATATGTGAAATATCTTCTCATTCATTTTTTTATTTTATGAAATTCAAAGGATAAATTTTTGACGATAAATAGGAAGAGTTAGACACAAATTCGTATCTCCACCACCCATAACTATATTAAAAAATCAACACTTGAAAATCAATGAAATCCCCAAAATCAATGATCCCTATCAAGATATATAAGTGGATAGTTTACCCTTTTTACTTCATTTTCAACTTTTTATTGATTTTATTTATTTTTTATAAATTAATAAATCAACGATTTGAACTAGATGATAAGATCATATTTGAGCGAACCGTTGTTCGACCCATGAGTTTTGGGACGAGATGTTACCGTGAATATACAAAAAATTGTGAAGATATATAAGTGGGTGATTTGGAATGATGTTCATAAGTCTTCTTGGAAATGAAGAGACACACATCTAGCTCATACTATATTTAATTAAGACGATTCATATCGAGATGTATAAGCATATAGTCTACCTTTTTTTACTTCATTCTCAAATTTTTACTGATTCAATTATTTTTTATAAACTAACAAAATAAGTGAAGTTATAATCTCTCACCATAAAAAAAATTATAACCAACAACAAAACATTTACATACACTATTTTATTTATATTTAGTTTTTATGCTAACATAATGAATATTTAATTTGTATGTGTAAAATATTATCATATTATCATTTTCTTAAATTTTGTATCATTACCTACAATTTATATTCATATATTGATAGTTTGTAAAACATTATTTTCTGTCAAGAAGTAAATGATCCAATGGGTTGACCCGAATAACTCATAGTCCGACCTGACCAAACCCGAATTAACCCGCAACCCAATAAACCTGTAATTTGATGCACCCGTAACCCGACCCGATCCGTAACCCAATTGACTAGTAACCTGATTGACTCGTAACCCAATTGACCCGCAACCCAATTGAATCCGATCTAAATTGAAATCGACGCAATTGAACTCGCAACCCGATTGAAGCCAGCCCAGTTAGACCCAATCCGAACTCGACCCAACTCGCCCATTTGACACCTCTACCATCATCAGTTGTTAACTCATATTAAATTAAAGAAGCTTATGGATGAAAATTGTCTGACTTGATGATTTTTAATATTTCATTGGGTTATCACACGCACCGATCACTCAAACTTTATGGTGATCGCAATCAGGTCACTCAATTTTTAAACTTTTTGATAAATTTGTTACTGAAAACTTCAAAGTAATTACTTTCTAGACTTCGAAATAATTTTCGTCTAGTTTGTTATTTAATTTATTCATATATCAGTATCATCTCACATTTAAATTAATGACTATGGTAACAATTCTATTCATATCCGTTTGAGTTTTTTTTTTTTTGGTTCTAGTTATATAGATGAGTGTCATTTATCAAGTTACCAACCTCTAATTAGCTACAGAAAAGAGTAAAGATGAAGAGGCAAGGATGGTTTCTTTTTTGGGTAGAACAACAATGGTTTTCTAATTATATGGAATGTAGAATGAGTCTGAATTTTTTTAATATCACAGTTAGATAGTAAATAGATAGCTGATTACAAATTATTAATAATTCAAATGTGGTAATTAACTGAATGTTGAACTATCGATAGAAGGGCTGTTTTTGCGACTAAGTAAACAACCCTATTAAAACGAAAGTAGCGTAAACAAAAAAGAGCTCCCCAGTAGTTTGAAAATTGAGTTTGATTATATTATAACACGAGATCTTTCAGATGCCGGCGGTGCCTCGGACGAAGACGAAATGGGCACGGGGGATGGCAGAAGCACTCGCTTTCCTATGGGGTTTGAGGTTGGCAAAGAATAATCATTTTGTGCCTTTGATTGTGGAAACGGATTGTAAATCCTTGATTCAGAAGCTGGACAGAAGGGATTCAACGGCATGGGAGATCGGTGGGATTTGTGACGAAATCAGGGATTTGGCGAGGAAGAAGGAAATGTGAGCTGGAGGTTCTGGGGGAGGGCTGGGAATGAATGTACGCATCAGATGGCCCGTGTTCGTTGTAGGTTGGAGGAATCCGAGATCTGGTTCAACCGACCTCCTATGATTTTACTACCCCAATTGTCAAAAGATGGCGTTGTAGTCACTGAACTCTCTTAATTCTCAATACAGATATCTTATATAAAAAAAAGCAACCCAAATTAATTTTGATGAACACCCGACTCATTGGAACAATTTAACGACGTAAGTACTAAGATTGATATATTCATAATTTTAGTTGTAAATTTTGTGCTTTTACAGTATTGGTAATTTTGTTAAAAATAAGAATTGACTGACTCCAAAATTCAATGACCACTTTGGTAATTGACCTGAAGAAAAGGGGATTGCTATTCGTCGCCTTAAAAATCCTTATTTGTCGCCCTAATTATGTTAAATTTACCAGTATATCCTTAGTTTATATTTTGTCATTTAAATACTTAAACCCTAAAACAAACACACGAATTCACTTGTCACCTTAACCGACCACCTCACAGCCGACCACCTTAAACCATTTCGTCGTGAGTGTGCTGCGTTCATCCATCGTTTCCGTTTGGTCACCAAGACTTCCGCTCTTGTTAACCCACCCAGCCAGTAACAATATTTTCTTGAAACCCGACATGCCCACCATTTGATATTCAAAACTATCGTTTGCAGCACCATCCATGATGAATACACATATAGAGAAGCTCTCAAACTTCACCCACAAATTACCCCCTTCGACAAATTCAACTTCTTTCAGTATGTGCCCATCTCATGAATCGGACATGTAAGTGTATCGAGTTTGGGATCCAACTAGAAGCTCAACGAGTTTTGGTATGCATACAGAACACATTTACAATGTGCGATCAGTCCAAGTACAAGTAAACTATTGTTTTTCTTCTCCTTCTCGGCAATCGCAGCCGACGCGATGGGGGAAATAAAAGGATGGTGGGTTGGGGGAATGGGACCGGCGGAGGGTTCTGGGAACGGCAGCGGTTGCCGGAAATAGGTTGGTGGATAGGACGGCATAAGGAGGTAGTGATTAGGGAATTGGAGTTAGGGGTACAAACGTCTATTCAGTTTGATTTAGGGCGAATTTTTTTAAAATTTAGGGCGACGAATAGCGATTCAGATCGCGATTAAAAACAAATCCGCTTAGGATAATCTCTTTGCTTCGCGAGGTCGTAATCGTAACGATTAACGATCCCCATCTGCCACGTGTCCATCGCTTGCATAAATTTCTCTCGCTTGTTCCCTCCGTCCCCAAATTCACTCCTAAATTTCTCTCCGACTCCTTTTCCTGATGACAACCGCCGCCGTACCCTAACCCTAATTTTCCATCACTCGGCCAGTTTTCATGGCCAGCCCAACCCCTCTCACCTTCTCCGCCTGCTCTTCCGCTTCCTCCTCCTCAGCCACCCTCTACTCCATCCCTCCTGACACTGATTGCGTCTCCGACGGTTCTTTCTCCTCCGCCGCCGCCGGTTTCGCCCCACCCGTCGAAGACGCCGCCCCCACCGCCGAGGACCCTTCCGTCTACCACCTCTCCTTCAACCAGGACTGCGGATGCTTCGTCGCCGGTCTCGACAACGGGTTCCGGATCTACAACACCGACCCGTTCAAGGCCCTGTTCCGCCGCGACATGGATTCTTCTTCCCCTTCCTCCTCCTCCTCACGCGGCGGAATCGGACTCGTCGCCATGCTCTTCCGATGCAACGTGCTCTGCTTCGTCGGCGGCGGCCCCGAGCCTCTCTATCCGGCGAATAAGGTCATGATCTGGGACGACCACCTCTCGCGCTGCTTCGGCGAGCTATCTTTCCGTTCCGAAGTGAGGAACGTGAAAATTCGGCGCGACAAGATCATCGTCGTGCTGGCTCAGAAGGTTTTCGTCTACAATTTTGTGGATTTGAGGCTGGTGCATCAGATTGAGACGGCGTTGAACAGTAAGGGGCTTTGTGAGGTTTCTCATACTTCGTCGCCGATGCTCCTGGCGTGCCCTGGCTTGCAGAAGGGGCAGATTAGGATAGAGAATTATGGTTCGAAGAAGACGAAATTCGTGATGGCTCATGATTCGAGGCTCGCTTGTATGAGCATGACTCAAGATGGGAGGTTGCTTGCTACTGCCAGCAGTAAAGGCACTTTGGTCCGAGTTTTCAATGCCTTAGATGGTTCCTTGCTTCAGGAGGTATAAAAGCTCAAACCTTTTTGTTATTGGAAGTACTGTAGTGGGTACGAAACATGAACCCAGGATTCATCTCGGTTTAGTGGATGGTTTGAACTGGTTGGGTAGCTGGATTTGTATGTACTGTTGTCATTGAATCTCTGATACGTCGTGACTGATATTTATCAATATGGATGCAAGCAATGCCATGAGAAACTTGGATTTAAGTCGGTGCGCAGTGGATGTTTTAGCATAAGCTTTCAACTGGATGTGAATTCATTGGTTAAGATATTTGCTGAATTTTAGATATGCATTACTAATTTCGATGGTTTATTAGTATATCATAGGCATTCAGGTAGAGTTCTTAGATTCTTATGGTGTCTGAACTTGATACCGAGGCAAGCGTACTTGTGAGTGGGTGGTATAGTCCTGGGTTTTCACCCTACTGATACAAACCATGTAGCAAAAACCAGGATTGAAATCAAGTTCCCGATGAATGTGTAATGTGTTTAGCATATGCTTTGAACTGGTTAATCAATATGGATGAGTGTTGGTGAATGTTAGATATGTCATGGCCGATTTTATCAGTTCTATTGTTCTGGTATTTGGGAACGTAGTAATGGGGTTAAGCTTGCTTTCAATTGATGGTATAGTCCTGCTTTCTAAGTCATGGAAGTTTTGGTTATGGCCTTGGTTGGTGTGGACATAGATGAATTTTAGATATGCCATGGCTGATTTTCATTCTCAGGTCAAGTTCTTCTGGTGTTTATAACTTAATACTGGCATAAAACATTGCTTGTGAAACGGTGGTATAGTCCTGCTTTTTCCTAAGCTTAGACGTTGGTTCTGTCTTGTATTAATGGGAGCTGTTGCTGAATTCCCAGGTTAGGCGAGGTGCAGACAGAGCAGAAATCTACAGCCTTGCATTCTCCTCGGATGCTCATTGGCTAGCAGTCTCTAGTGACAAGGGAACCATCCATGTCTTCAGCCTCAAAGTGGATTCAGGATCATTGGCAACACTATCAAATGATAGATCACAGGTGGTGTCTGCTCCAAATCCTTCCAATGGTTTGGGCATTTCATCCCTTTCCATCTTGAAAGGTAAAAACACACTCCTTGTTATGTGGATGAAAAGTGTCAAACTTAATGAATTTATATCCAATTTGGGTTCAGGTGCTTCAATTACATACATGGTCATGAACTTTGGGTCACTTCAAATCAGTACACAACTTTATTGTTCAGTATATTTAACATAGCTGTCACAAAGTTCATCTTCTTTCCAAGCTGTCCATGTTATTATGTCAAACTCACCCGAATTATTAAATGAAATAGAAAGGGTATTAGATAATCTAATTAACTACAGGAAGAAATGGATTAGGGTGGTTCCAGGTAATGTGGATAGTAATTGGGTTGAGTGATGAGATTGGTTGAATCAGGCATCGTTTAAAAGAGTTGTCAATGCTAGCTAATTAGGGTTTTTATCATCAAATTGGCTAGGTTAGTATGTTAATTGGGACTGAAATCAGATCAGGATGGGCAATGAGAGTATTATGGCGGTTATTCCAAATTGATCTACCGTGTTAGCCATTCCAAAGATTAGTGACCGGTTTGCTTATGTTGAAGTGATTAAAGAAATGCTTCTCCACATCTAACTTCTAACGCTTTAGGCTTATGGAAGTTGTTCATCTAAATCATTCTCTCAATGTTCAACATATAACCGTATAGCTTTATAATCTTCAGGGGTGTTGCCAAAGTATTTCAGCTCAGAGTGGTCTGTGGCTCAGTTCCGATTGCCAGAAGGCTCCGAGTACCTTGTTGGTTTTGGCCAGCAAAAGAACACAGTTATCATCATCGGACTGAATGGAAGGTAAGCACTAGTCACCACTCACCATAGCCTAGGTCTCTCTGCTTATTAGCCACTATAAGCAGAACAGCCCTTTCAAAGAACTCAGATTGTGCATTGAGTTTTAATGTTGATAGATTTCTTTTGGTTGCAGCTTCTACAGATGTGAGTTTGATTCTGTGAAAGGGGGAGAGATGACGCAGTTGGAACACCATAATTATCTTAGTGCCGACAATTTCCTGAAGCCAGGTGAAACTTTCACCAAGACATTGTAATTATGAAGCGAAAAATAAGCTGTGCTCAAAATTTTGGCCATCTCTCTTTGTGTATTTTACTGTTAGTATACTTATTCATGCCTGTCATTCTAGTTCTCTCGAAAGGTGAAAAGAGGAATAAGTTGTCACTTGTAAATAGTGGAATGAAAGTTTAATTGATGATTGGAATCACCAGTGGGGTAAATTTGCGACCTTTTTTGGTATGCATAGAGATTTTGACAGTATTGAAGAGGTTCACTGGTAACTGTGCAGCAAATTAAGGAGTCGTCTTTTGGGTAGAAAGGGTAATCTTGACCTGATCCATGCGTAGGACAGCTCGTCGTCGTTTTAGGTGGCAGAGTATTTGATCCTTGAGCAGTGTAGGAAAGGGTACCGAGTCTTTGGATTTAGGGTTGTGGTGATGGATGACGGTAGCATAATCCACCAAGGAGAGACTTGTCTTGAATCTATATCAAGGTTGTCAACCCGCGGGTTGACCTGGACCGGTCGAACTAGTGGGTCAAGGGTTAATGGGTCAACCGTTTTAGTCCGGTTTGGCCCGGAAATATGGAAAAGTCATTATATTGTACTTATCCTCATAAATTATATTAAATCTTATATAACATATGAGTTATAACATATAATATTATACCAAAATAACATATCGTACTTAGATCCAACATATAATGAAAATTCACACATTTATATAACATAAATATTCAAATGTTCAACTTAGGATTCCAAAGATTGAGTTGGGCGAAAAGAAAAATCGAAAAATAGACGCATTTCGCAAATCAAAGGAAAAAATGACACAATTTAACCTCAAACCCGGTACCTTATAGCGGTCGGACCGTTTTTCTCATCGGGTCAGCGTCAAACTGGGTCGACCCGCGGGTCAACCCGCGGGTTGACAACCTTGATCTATATAGTTTGGCAAGAAAATGGAAAAACAATGGCTGACCCGCGGGTTGACAACCTTGATCTATATAGTTTGGCAAGAAAATGGAAAAACAATGGCTTCTTTATAACACTTGTAGCAGAAAGGAAATCATTTTCTGCTACTGACTATTATGTTTCTCGCGCCGATTACGTTCCTCCATCACCCGCGAAAAGAGCCTCGTCAAGCATACAATGTCAATGAACGAAGAACCACTATATTGATTTTTCCATTACGAACTCAGCAAGGAAAGATGATTATTTTCCCACCATGAACTTTTGGTCAGATAACTACAAACTAATATGAAACTAAAATATATAGAAATTAAAATCCAGTGAAGATAAGGACAATCAACAGGGACCTTTCTCTAAGCACTAAAAACTACTGCTGCCATGGCTGACAATTGACAACTACAAACCATATTCAATTACACGGAAACGAATCTAATAAGTCTAGTCTGAGTTGGGGCTCATTCAGGTTGAAGCGCCCTTCTTCTTTGGGGAATTGGGTTCGGATGCAGATGATGTTTCAGAGATCTTCTTCTTGGGCAAGAGCACTGGGTTGATATTGGGCAGAACACCTCCACTAGCAATGGTGACTCCCTGCAGCAGCTTCCCCAGCTCCTCGTCGTTCCTCACCGCCAAAAGAAGGTGCCTCGGGTTTATCCTGTTCTTCTTGTTGTCCATCGCCGCATTCCCAGCTAGTTCCAGCACCTGTTGAAAATCAAGGAAAACCAATTCAATCCCCTGTTTGTTTCTCGAGAAAATTGGGGAAACGAATATCGCGGAAATGGATCAAAACGTTTCGATTTCTTCATAACCAATCTGAATCTCGTCGTGCAGGAAATGGGACGGAGAAAATTGAACGGAAAGCAAGAGAATCGGATCTGAGGAAAATTTTCTGTTCGCGGATTTTTTTTAGTTACCTCGGCGGCGAGATACTCGAGAACAGCAGCGAGGTAGATCGGCGCTCCGGCTCCGTACCTCTGAGCGTACCGGCCTTTCTTCAAGAACCGGAAAACGCGGCCGACGGGGAACTGGAGCCCGGCCCTCGCCGACTTGGAAACCGCCTTCTTCCGATCGCCTCCGCGTCTCCCGCCGGCGCCCTTCGGTGTCGCCGCCGTAGTTCCCGACTTCGCCACGGAATCCATAGAAGAAGAATCAACGCAACCGAATTTGACAATGGTGTGAAATTCGAGACTGAAATCGGAGAAAGGAATTTGGACAGCAGAGGATCTCCGTGAAAATGGCTGCCGAATCGGTTTTGGGATGTCACGAATCAAAACTTCTAAATGCAGCAAATTAGGTAAAATATTTCGGATACCACTTGAGTTTAAGAATTGGAATAAAAATACTATTTAAATTTGAAAAGTCGTTAAAATATGCAATCGTTTAGTTTTTCATCTAACCCAAACTTTTAATTACTTTTTGGTATCCAAAACTTTGAAAAACATCCAAAATTATTTTTCAACAAGTTTTATCTAATATAAACTTAGAAAACCTCTAAACATAGTATTACTAGAATGTCTAATATTTTTTTTTCAATAAAATAGATAAATTAGTAGAAATAATAAACGAATATCAAGAAGAAGAATAAATATAATGGAGGATAATAATAAATATTTAAAATCAATATTACAAGATCTATTTAAACCTATAATCCCATTAGAAGCACCATTAAAAACAGTTAAAATAGAACCTAATCGATCATCAATACATCAAGTCCAAAGAAAGATAAATGTAAGACAATCAGAAAGAATTAAACATATTCTCGTAATTGAAAAAGAAATTAGAACGAAAAGAGACAAAAAGTAACTAAATACTAAAGAAACTATAAAAGATACAACATTCAGTAAAAAAAGGAAATTAGAGAATTATAATGAGATTTAACGTTGGAAAATTAGACAACATAAGCATCATCGAAGAGAATAAAATTCATATTACTTATATCGAGATAAAATTCATATGATATATTTTCTTTTGAGAATTATTCAATTATTAGAACACATAATGATAATTGAAAATAGTTATAATGATAATTGATTCAAGATTTCCTATTCATAAACTGGTTCAATATCAGAGTCTTCAAAAGATGATTCCAACTAAACATAATTCATATGAAATATTTGCTTTAGAGAATAATTCAACTATTAGAACACATAATGATAATTGAAAATACTTATAATGATAATTGATTCTAAATTTTCTATTCAGAAATTGGTTTGGTATCAAGTCTTCAAAAGAGAATTTCAACTAAACAAAAAAAAAAAACGATGTTTTTTATAATAAGAAAAGTAGTAGGACCAATTATAAAATTTAGAATATTCCAAGAATATTCTGTCAACTTTAGCGGAATGCACTTAACAATAAACTTATGTGATACCGGGTGCACATTTAATAGAGTTCAGTGGTACGTGAACGTGATGCCCTATTCTTAACTACGTATAATAACTCTCCCAATTCTCATACTTTAGTGCTATCCGAGGTATTTTACCCCAACAACTGAGACACGTGGACAGACGACAGTAGGTAAATTTTTGTTTTAGTACGTGAGAGTTGAGACTTTATATGGGTCTAGGTCCGTTGCTTGTAGGCCCGCTGATACGCACGGCTATTATCTTCGAGTTCGAGCTAGACTTACTTAATAAATTTTGACTCCTATTTAATACATTTATTTTGTATATTACGAATAATACATGTGATTGATGTCATTATGAAAAAATAAAAAAAAAACCAACTTTAACTAATATTATTTAGGGGAGAAATACCCCGCATCCGCATGCCACTAAACTTTCAGAATTGTGGACGTATACAAACTAAAGTAAAAATAGGGCATTGAATACCATGTAAGTCCATAAAATATGCATTCGTCCATTTTTCTGTCCAATACACTAACAGAAAAAGAAACACGCCACATTGGCATTTCCTCTGTGCTTAGTAGATCTATGTTAAAGAAGCTGCTTTTTTTTTTTTTTTTTTTTTTGATAGAAGAGATGGAGCTGAGGAGAAGACGAGGAAAAAGGTGCGCTATTGAATGTTTGCAATTAGGGTATCTAATTTTTTGTTTGGTTGTATTAATTAGCAGACAGCAGTAGAGTCGAAATTTGGTCAATACTTTTTTATCAAGCAATCTGGAAATTTTCATTAAGTTATTGTTCTGGTGATAGGTAGGAATCGGAATGGGCAGGTTCGGGACGGGTATTTTGATATCCATATCCGCCCCGTGGCATGTCAGGTTCAAGTCGGGTAATTTATCATGGGGCACGGGTCGGAGCAGGTCGACCTAATGGGTATATAAATTATATGAAAAATATTATAAATATTTGTTACTTTCATTAAAAGGCCAAGGAACAAACCATAATATGATAAAATGTAGTTAAGTTATTGGGAAAATTGATGTTTCACTCATTTATTATTGCTAAAGTATGAGGTAATAAAGTGAAAATTCTAAGTAATATGACTAAGATTACATGTAAACTAGGCAAGAACGGGTCGAGAATTAGGCGGGTCAAGGCAAGTCGGGTCGATGAGAGTTACCCATGCCCGCCCCGCCCCAAAACAAGTCAAACAGGCCGGATAAAACTGGTCAAGTTGAAATTGTCATCCCTAGTGATAGGTTGGGAAACGATTCGAATGATGTTTGGGCTTCAACAATTGATTGAGTTCTTAATAAAACTTTTCACCGTTATAAAAAAATAGCATTGCTATTCGTAGCACTAAAATAGCTTATTCATCGCCCTAACTTTTATTAAAATGACTCTAATGTCCTTTGTTTAGCTTTTGTCTTTCAAAACATATAAACACTAAACAAACACATACAACTATACCAAATAACATATTAATTAAAAGAATATTCAACGAAAAGAACAAAATACAATGAATGTGTGGGTGTTTTTTTTTTTTTTTTTTTTTGCAAATCAGCTTTGTCTTCTCTGTAGGGGAGCATGGCTTCGTTCTTATCATCTTTGGGAAATAGTTGGGTTCATTCTGGTGAAGTTGCTGCTTTCTTGTTAGCTCTGGGTAAAACTTGAAGTATTTGGTTTATATGCAATTTAATTAGTGAAGGCGAGATATCGATTGAAAGAGATCTATGAAGTGCAATCATTCTTCCTTTGAATCAAGGCTAAAAAACGAATCCCATTAGAGCTGCAGCTATTGAGAAAGTCCACGCAGGGCTAACTCTGAAAACACAGCACTTCAACAACTCAAACGAAACTTTCCATCAGACAACTGGCTGCTTCTTCCCCTCAACTACGGCGACGTCAGCTCGTCTCCCTTCTTCCTTCGCGGTGGACCAAGCAAAGAAAGCGGGTCGGCGTGCTGGGGAAACGCAACGATGGCGGGTTGGGGAAATGGCAGCGCCTGCCGGGATTCGGCTGGTGGATGGGACGAAATGGAGCAGAGGGTGAGATCGGGGTGAAATTGTGTTTGTTTAGAGATTAGGGTTTGAATTTGAGGATAGGGGTTCATTTTACATGGTTTAAGGCAAAAATATTTAAATTTTGGGTGACAAATAGCGATTCAGTAAAAAAAATAGTTTTTACCCAATCCGTTGGTCGGATGAATTTTATTTTATTTTATGTTGATCAATTACTTCATTCTTTTAAATAATTTGAGATTTTCTCAAATATTGAATTCATTATTTCAAAGTAATCTTTATGTTATTTGGTGATTATGACATTAGCGATAATTAGTTAATATGTATTTTTGTATCAAGACGTCCTAGTGTACTATTGTGTATTTTTTCATATCTTAGAAGAAATTTGTGGACTTTTATTTCCGAATATGAATTTGGAGTTGGAAGGAAATATATGTCATCTAGAATTGGTAGGAATTGAAGGTATATTAAAAATCATGAGAATAACGAAAAGATTATGCCTAGAAATCTCAAATATGGAAGAAGGGAAAAAATAATACTTATTGTATAAATTATTATAATTTAGTGTATAGGCTTGTTTAAATAATAAGTGGGGATGTTAAGTGTTTGATACTAATGCACGTACAAAAGTTAAGAAAGTTCAAACATTATAAAACCTTAAATTCTACTCTACCAATACGATCTTTGACTTGTTATGTGGAGTTAATAGCATAAATTGTCACTCTACTATCCATTTTTCTCAAATCTCTCCCTCTTCTATTTTTCACATCAAACATGTTCGAGTACTATATAGTATATAAGTATTAACAAATTAAATTTATCCCATTTTATCGCTTAACTTCTCCGTATGCAACTCGTAATAATTAATAGTCACAATTCCATCATCCATCTGTTCCGCTTTCACTTCCTTCGACCCAACACTAAATAAATGCAAAATCTTGTTTGCCACGAAAGAACCTTGAAGATCGACTTTTGAATTTCAACCACTCTTTGAAAGTCCTTAATTGTTGATTGATTTGACTCAATTATCAAAATTGGAACCTAATTTTTTTAGAATATATGGATTTCAAAGTATCAAAGGTTATCAACTCGGTTTAGCTCGTTAGCCAGGCCAATCAAGTGGGTTGAGGGTTAATGGTCCAACCATTACTCGAATTTATGAAAAAGTCATTATATTGTTCATATATTGATAAATTATGTAAAATATCATCTACATATGGATAATATTCTTCCTCGCCCATACTATCTACATTTGTTTCTCTATCTGCTGCTTACCACTATCCTCCTTCGAGCTCCTAAAAAGCAGTCCAACAACATGTATTCATCACGCTATGAAGGTCGCACTCATATGGCGACGGTGTGTGTCAGATGTGGAATTAATGAGGAATGACCAAGTGGGAATCGAACGTGGGGATGTTTGCAAGGGAAGGCAATATGTAATGGAAGGCGAGTTCTGCCAGTAATCTCTTTGTCTACAAAATTGACTCAACGAATTTAGCTTACCAATTCGCGGAGCGGGAGCCAGAACGGGACCAAAATAGCGTATATTCTTCGAGAATTATAATTTGAGTGCGCTGAAAGAGTGTGAATATTATATTAATTTAATTAATATATCATTTGACTTATTAACATGGCTTGGTTAAAATATTACAACAATGCAGTGGAAAAATAAAATTATTTTAGTAGAATGACAGCTTTAAATAATCTGATTAGGCTCGAAAAAGGAACAGATTACAAAAGTTGAATAGAAACCTACCAAATTTTACGATACCGTTTTTAGTTTTTTTATTTTAGAAAATTTGAAATGAGACAACAATTTTCTCATTTTAGTATTACATATTGTGTAGAGTGTATATAAAGACGTGTCATTTCCCT